CTTTTCCCCCCCTCCCCCCCCCCCCCACTCACCGCCCCCCCACTCACCGCCCCCCCTCTCCACCCCCATGAGCCTTGCTCATTGGTCACTCTTTTTACTGGTCTCCAAGGTACGAGTAAATATAAGAAATGGGCTGAATGTGCCGTGGGCTAATTTACTACTGCTTATTCCTCTCCAGTTTTGTTAGATTATAATGTAATTTAGAAGACAATTTTCTGCTTTTCACAATCAAGAGGTTGTGGGACTCTTCATCAACGTTCAAATAGAAATCCTGCTATAGAACTTTACTCACAAATATTTAGCTATTAATATTCATGCGAATCATGCTAGACTTATCTGATAACTAATCGCTTTGCCAAAAATACACATTTTGCTATCCTTATCTGGTGAATAAACGTTTCTGTGATACGTCTCTTCCTGGAGACTCAGTAATTAGGAGAATCTGCCCCAAAAAGGTTCCTGAGACTTAGGTCAGGCTTTACTAGCGTAGCAATCCGCTACAAGGTAAATTCGAGTGAGCTCTGTTGTGTTTCCAGTCTTAGTTAACTGAATCAAAGTGATAGGGACCGCCGTTCACTCTAATTATCTGGTCAACGTGATCTCAATGCCATTAGCATTCCAATATTGCAATGTAAACTGCATTTCCTATGGGCAAACCCTATATGCCTATATTTACACCCTTTCTTGTTTCATTCTTTCCTGGGATATTTCCCAATTTCATGATTTATGGTAAGATTAGTAATGAATAATTAACTAATCTACTTAGATGTCTGCTCAAATATTTGAGAAAGGCAATTCCCCCGAAATAATGAATTTATATAGGTACGAAGTGGAATACCTAAAGACGCTTCGCCTTGTCTGCGAGGAGTCGGCTGCTGCATAGTACCAAGAGCGTGTCTAGAAGTGACGAGAGTCGTTGGACCAAGCAGTCCATACCCAGTAGATTGGGAATGTGGATAGACGATTTGATTGCCCAGTTGATAGCAATCTCGATAAGGAGAGCACTCAATCATGGTTTGGGACACTGGTGAGAAAGGCACAGCCGGCAGGACTCGAGTTCCTTGTTGTGAATCGATAAAATGCCCATTCGTATTTCCTCCACCAAGATACTAAAAAAGACATTTTTGCCTAAATTCATCTTCTTAAAGTCTGCGAAGTAAGTAGCATTTACAGAACTATGGGAAAGTTGATTCAGGAGGTGTGTTTAAGCATTTATTAGCAGAAGGGTGGAGGGATAGGCGGGAGGGTGTTGAGAGAAAGTCAAGTGCTCAACTGCATCCCACGACTCAGGAGTGATAATGAGTTCCCTAATTACTTTCTCACCAAAGTGTGATAGCGAAGTATCTACAGCGCGGGAAACAGCAGAACTATTTCTTGGGACACGAGCCATTAAATTATACTGAAAAGCTTTCTCATTCTTTCTGCGTAAGTTTAGAGAAGTGGTAGTACCTCTCTGACACATTAGATGGCATAATTTCACGTTTTCTAACGATTAGGCTGATCACCTCCTTTGATTAATATCAAAAAATCTGTAGATAAAACCGAATCTGGTAGTGGGGTACTCATTGTTGAATTTCTCAAAGCATAAATCGAAGTATCGTAAGGTTATATAATTTAGCCAAATTGAACTTCAATCGTCTCTTCAGAAAAGCTTTGAAAACAATTGATAAGAGTTAAGAAAAGGTATTTTAGAAACCCCCCATCCTACTATAGTCATTCCAGTGGCATGAGTTAACCAATATGATTGGTTACTGGGCTCCGATAAGAATTTATATCGTGACCACACAAAGGCTATGACTAAAAAACATATTTAATTGTAAATAGTGTCCATTAATCTATACATGTAGTGAGAACTATTTCATTCTAATAAACGAGTACGTGTGTATAGATTCAAGCAAACAGTCGAATAGACCTTAACTGTAAACATTCATACTGTACTACGAGTGCCATATTTAATAATATTTTCTTTTCTCTATTTCTGAGTGTTTCAAATCTGGTTTGGCCATGGTAGGCGAACTTGCCTCGATTAAATTATGTTTAAAGTTCTTTATTTTCGAATATCTATCAGAAATGGGGTGTACGGTAGACTTACCTCTACGTGGTGCACCCTGAGCGACCTATACTCATACGACAAAAAAAGTCTATTACCGGCAGTTGACTTCTCACTTCAAACTACCATGACCCCACTCTGTATCATATTTCACCACTTCTGCAGTACTCGCCTTAATCTAATCTCGATCTTTGTGTCTGTCTCTTTTACATCTTTGAAACGTTCTTCTGTTCCTCCCCCCCTCTCGACTTTTTTTCACTTTGATGTCCCTTCCCCTCTGTGAAGCAAGAAGTCAACTGAAGAGCTAATGATAACCATCAAAACGCCGGCCATTTGAGATAAAATCAAACTTCATCTCAAAGTTAAGGCTGATATTCTGAATCGTAACCTTCTCTTCTAGTTAGACATTGGAAGTCCTTGTTAATCGACGCTTACAATCATTAGTGGACCCATCGTTAGTGTCAAGACCTCGATTTCTCTGCTAATACTTGTATACAAGTGGCAGTTCAACACTTTGCTGTCTTCTCTCAGACTTTCTTGACAAACACGGCACGGGCTCATTCCGAAATTGGATGGTTTAGAAAGATACCCGATCAAACCAAACACTCCCCATTGGTTTCTTAATCGATCCACTTAACACTCTCTAAATCACAACGCAACTTTGCAACCTCAAAAGGACATTTAGAAATATTTTGTCAGCGCCAAAGTTCAACGCTGAAAATACACACCCTACAGTCAATAATTTGCGAAAATTGACCTATGTGTATGTTTATTTTAAGCCGACGTTTAAGTATAAACAACAGACGTTCGGTAGTATCACACATTCCGTACCCCTGTCATGTACTTGTTTGCGCACACCACACGATCGGCGCCTTAAAACCACTTGGTGAGTTTTAGTCTAACAGAGAATAAATATTCATATGCGTCAGCTTTGTTCACAGTTTGTGCGACATCCACGTCTGTCTAGTGAACTAGGTTATGCTCCCATCATGTGGCCTTAAAGGGGGTCACAAAACAGACTTTATGACCCTCTTGGATCACACAACGGACAATTTACGACACTGTGCATTGTATACGACAATTGTACACAGTCCAACATTCTACAAACGCAAATCATTGAAAAGAAGCACTTTGTCGCACTAAGTAACTATGCCTTACTTACTTAACCCTAGCCGAGTTCAAAGGTGAATAAATTATGGAAGAGGAATAAACGTATTCTTTGACTTTAATCCCATGCTAAAAAGAGAATTTTTGATCAGGCTAATGTTAACAACATCCAAACAAGCTGAAAAGGTGATTTTATCTGTTGTTGATTTCCATTAAAACGACACCGTCTTTCTATTAGGAGAAGAGGGAAATGACTTCAAAAGGCCGGCCAATCAAAATAAAAGAACGTTATTCTATTCAATCACTAATTGTATTTCTTGATTTAATATCAACACTGTCAACATAATAAGGCGGTGAATAATCCTCATCGTATATTCAGCTAACAGTGTTCAGCTCTAAAGACAACGAAGGAAGGCCAGAGATACTGGAAAGCAAGAAGACAGCTAATGAACTGCTATTAATTAACTGCTATATATGTACCCCCACCCATGGGGGAAGCTGAAGTCAAAGTTTAAGGGCTAATGATAAATATCATAAAGCCTACCATTTGAAATAATAACATTCAGCCAACATAGACCCAATATAACAAAAAGGCCTTTGGGGCCTGTCTTGCAATGAGGACAAATTAACTTTGAGAGAGTACAATAACGAACAGAGGGTTAATGTAACAATGACTCTCGACAGTGGTGAGTTTCGACAATGCGTTTAGGGATAGTTAGAGGTTTCCCTCAGATCTCAGTCCGCTTGTTACACCCCGATATTTAAAAGTTTTCTTTTCTTTTTTAGATAATCAATTTTAACAAGCAAGTGATGAAAATTAAGGCCTGAAATTACGTAAACCCCGAGAATGTAAAATTCAGAAATTCTACCATGTGTTCGAATTAATAAAACACAGGAAATTAAAAGCCCGATTTCCGTGAATTAGCGTTAAACAGAGTTTAGCATAAACCCTGATTCACACAAAAGCCGCAGAAAGGTAAGGTAAATGAAGGATGCTCGACCATTCTAATGGTGTGATTGATTAATTCCTAATGGATAATGCTTTGGGAGAAGGAAATACGAAACCATCTAATTTTCTCCATGATGGATAGCCAAGTCATATTGTGCGCAAACAAGAAAAAAAAGGATTTCCACAGCACAACATGGGATTAGGAATAGATACCGCCGATTTATTTGATCGTGAAAATTTATACCCCAACGCTAAGAGGACAATCAATAGAAATTAACCCTTTTATTTACAGAATCAAGAACGAAATTTGCATTAAAGTCGGATAGATGTGATACGAATTCTCCAATTATTGCCAACTTAATGCTGCAACCAGAAGGTTTGATAGGCTCCAATTACTGGGAACTGGAAGTACAACTCAAAAACCAGGGCGAAACTTCTTGTAATGTGAAGTAAGGAAGTAGATTTAGATGAGATTGGACTATTTTGAACTTAATTGGTTACTCCTCGTCTGATTCATCCTTTAAACACTTACTTGGCTATCCATCTCAGTCCCACGTTCAAGCCATTAATACTACATTTCAAAGTGGTCATATTTTAATGCGGATAGACTTACTTCTTCTGACCGGCAGTGCGCAGTTCGATGCAACTGTGGCTCACCAATGGGTCCAACAATTGGTGTCTGCTTCATTTTTTCCACGGTTTTATCATCTACAAGAGAGAACAACACTTGGAAATTAGGAAATGCATAAACGGAAAATTTACATCCCAACTCCTCTATCTTATTCGGTGCCTTTCTTCAGCAACAGCTGACGACATAAATACAAATTCCAAACATCGCAAAGAAACTCCATAAAAATAAGCCCTAGGGGTTGCCCACTTATTAACTACCTTCCTAATTGGTTGGGTTTAATGTTTGCATAGAAAGCAGGTGTTATCGAGGGAAGTGAACAAACAGACCAAAAAAAATAGTTTTCTCTGACGCCTCTCTGATTCACGCAGCAGTGTGTGTTTGTATCATGCGTCTATATCCATTTCCATTCACCCCCCCTCCCCCTCCCCCTCCCCCACCCCCTTCCTCATATTCCTACTCTCGTCGCCAACATATGATACGTTCAAGAGTCGGAGAGTATACTTAATGCGTGCGTACAAGTGATTATGTTGTTAGACTTAGGTCTATCTATATAGCACTATCACCCTCCACCTCCCACTATGGCGATAATGCGTCTCAATATATTCCCCCCACTCTTTCGCGCCTAAAACAAACAAGCTGAGAGTGGAAGAGGCTGAAGCGTTGGGATTGTTGTGGTGGGGGAGCGAATTATGAAGCGTTAATCTCCCTTTGCTTGAGTCAGGCGCTAATAATGGTAATTACAGCCCGGAAGTTGATGGAGCTTTTAACAGCTCCACTACTACCCTTATACCTCCTCCCCCTCCCCTCCCACCACCACCACCACCACCACTCCAACGAAGTTGAAATTCAGATAGAGTGAGAGAGATGGAGCAGATGTTTAGCTTCTTGTAGTCTAATCAATGCAGACAAGAATGCTCGACCGAGAATAGAGTGGATTCGCAAGCATAGCGCCAAAACCTTAATCCAACTATATAATGGGAAACTCTACGACCGGTATTAGGCAGTGAGATATGAAACCGCTTCCTTAAATCATGTCTTAATTGCATGTTTGATCTGAGAAATAGATAAGCATATATACCCCAAACCCCTCAATGAAATCTACTGGGATATTAATTGACTCTTTTTATACCTTTTCCACGGAAAAGAAATGTGTGACTTTATCCTTAACATTAATAAAGCGAGATGAATGCTTTCTCACGTGGAGCTGATTAGGCCTCAAAATTGAAGTGTTCTCATGCATACTGGTACTATTTCCTAATCAACTGATCCAATTAATTTTCAGGTCAAAATTGAAATGAATATTCACTACATCGAAGTTATTTACGGGAGGGGGGGGGGGTATTTGAACAGCATCTGAATATCCCAAGAAATAAGTACTGTGCAATTCAAAATGTCCTACTTTTTTGCCTCGTTTATGAAAATTGCAATGAGTAACACTAATTGGGGTACAATTTTCTCTTGTCCTATGTTGGAGGACAATTTGCCAAAGAGGAGGGGGGAGGGCGTTATTTCTGCCTTTGAGTATGTACTCAAAAAAAACATTTCACAAAATTGGACTCTAGAACACCCATAACTATTCCTGGGTAATTTAATTGGGTGGTCTGTGACTCTTAGCATATGAGGAAGTGTGAAAGGATTTCAAGCCTTGCCCCTAGTACGCTTAAGTCAATTTAAGTAGACTTACTTTTTCTAAATGGGCAGAAGCAATAGTAACAGGAATTCAGACTTCCAGTACAAGACGATCTTAGACCGCCGCGCATGAGAAGGACGATAAGTAAGGCGATGAGAATGACCACCGCAAAGAAGATGGTAAGGCCGATGATGACTTGTTCAACTAAGGAAATTCGGACCCAACTGGAGCGTCCGTCTTTATCACCACTTGAAGAACCTTCAAGGTGATCACCGTAACCTTGGCCCCGAAGTCCTCCAATATTTCCTCCATTTGCTCCTCCGTTATGATCAGATGGAACTCGAAGCTACATTAGAAGGTAAAAAATGCGTTCTACTCAATTAGTTAAACTTAAATAAGAAAAGTGATGACTGGACATGAATTCAATGTATGTCAAGTGTGCAATCTCATCTTCTCACGTGCAATTACTCAATCTGATTCCACCTTTGGGATTGTAATACAGACAGACTCATAACCCAGGTAGATGCAATTGTGTGAAGTTTCACTTTGGCATTCCAAAACGGCCTTACGTTGTGCATGATTTTTCATTCATAACTGAAACTAATTATTTAATGGGCAGTCGTCTGCGCTTAAATTTCTGGTTCTCAATGTCGACTAGAGACCATTGCAATATGATCGGGAAATGCACAATAAGTCACGTCTTCTTTCACAGATCGTTAGAATCTTGCTCAATTCATAAACAAAACTGTTAACATCGTCAGATAACTCAAGAATTTCTTAAGGAATGGATGGAGCATTTTAAATTTGTTTTAAAAATAAATTTTCCTCTCTGTGAGTGCAGAATCTTTGATTTTCACTTATCTCTTTATTCTTAGAATACAGTGCAAATTAAATATAATGAAATTAATTATCCTGGCATTAAACACGAATGTACTGAGTTAAGTCGAAATTCGCTCAATGGAATGCCTCATAAATTCAAATTCGTACTTTCCGAGTTACATATTGCGCAAAAAAAACTCGAAAGAGTGGGAAAAAGTACCCATGAGGCGAAGTGAACTTCTTTAAAGCACGCCTTTTAAGACACCTTGTCTCGCTTCGTAGAAAAAATGTACGCTTTAAGCACATCCACACTTCTGAAACTCACCATGGCTCGGAGCCTATTTTTTTCTGTCAACAACTTCGAAGTGGTGCATATCTACTTGCCTTCAATGCGGTTTAGTCACGCAAAGGGAGATGAAAAATGAATTCGCAGGAGGAATATTCGGTTATTCGTTAACTTGAGCTTACTTATCGAGTGCTACCCCCAATTTCGCCAGGATAATCTGTATGTGTTATATCTAGGCAACAAGTTATGCAAATGACCCGTTGATGTTATGCAAAATAATCAGGTGGCAAAATATTATTCTGACATTCTTATTATTGGACTGGTAACCAGGTGAAATTCGCCTACCTGAATGGTACGTTATTGAACAGGTTACCTTTCAAATCTAGTTGTCAATGATCTAGAAGAGAGATCATTACTGTGTCATACATTTGGCAAAATATAGACAGCTTTGTATCGTTTCTTAAATTTGCTAAATTCAGAAAAAATGTTGAGAAAAAATTACTGAAAAGTGATTGGACATTACAAACTAAAACATTTTAACACTTTAGCTATCGAAAAAGGCAGATGTATCAAGTCAGTACAACCGGCCTTCGAAATATCCTTTTAATAGAAATGGCTTTGGTTCATAAGAATTCAAACTGGTGTAGAGAAAACTAGCTAGACACACATTCAACTGTCAACAGGAAGCACTGTGTTGGAATCAGTAGCAAACAAGACAATAAACTGGGCAAATATGGATTAGAAAACCATAGAAATAAATAACTTTGATTGCGTTAAACCCATTTTTATTCTAATAATCAGAGTGGACAGTGGCACTCTTCGACATAGCCGACTGGCCAAGAATCGAAGTCGTTGCTGAGTTTGGACTACGTAACGGACACGATTGCTTGGCAAAACATCTTCACAGATTGGGAGTATACACTCAACCCACATGCCCCCTGTGACCTACAGGAGGAAATGGAGAAGACCCACCTGATTCGATGTCCAGCCCTAAAGACAACGACGGAATGCCAGAGATACTGAGAAGCAAGAAGACGGCTAATGAATTGCTATTAATTAACTGCTATAAATGTACCCCCCACCCCACCCTTGGGGAAGCTGAAGTCAAAGTTTAAGGGCTAATGATAAATATCACAAAGCCTGCCATTTGAAATAATAATAATTCTAATAATCAGACTGCTCCCAACAGCTCTAAGATGATTTTTTTTAAAATCTAAATGTTAGATCATGAAGCCTGAACCTTTCGTACAAAACAGAAATTTGAGTAAGTGTAGATTTCATAGAAGGTTAGCTTTGCAGCCGCCGTTTCTCTCAACTCACCTTACGTGGGATAGTTAACTACTACCATACTAAACGTGACCAAAATTTGTAATCTTTACATTACTGTAAGTAATAACACCCAAGTAAATTAGAATTAGATAACTTCCTTTTTGTCTGAAAATTTTAAAACAAACAACATCGGGTTAGACAAATATGATCTTTAATTTCCGGTTTGTGAATGGTAGATAAAGTGTCAATGAAATGAATAAAAAATATCTTTTGCCATCTTTATTTTACACAAAAAAATGTCTCCAAACTCAGACAATGGGTAAAAAAGATAAAGTTGTAAGTTTGGTAACCTATTTGGAGATGCCGAAGAAATAGTTCAACTTTACATAAGAAAGTACTTATATTGATAATAGAGTAAACAAATTGTTTCGGTTGCTATGTTCAAAGTATTGATTCAATAGATGGATCAATCGGTATTCGACCGCATGCGCAAAGAGAATAAAGGGAAAGAGATTTGAGTATAACTGTCTTGATACCAAATCGAATTTCAGGATCAACTTAATGTTCTGATCAAGGTTAGGGTGTAGATGTCTCTCTCGTTTCAATCAAAAAACTTCTCTCAATGGGATTGAAGGTATTTTGTTGTGATTTATGTGCTATGAGTAACAACATGGGCTTCCAGTGACTGAAAAAGAAGCTTATTTTATTCTCCACCTTAGCTACGTATCTGTCTGACTAAACAGTCCAATGTATATTATCTGTGTGAACGAATGGATATATACATAGTAATCTTTCTTACCTGAATTTGAAGGTTTGGGAAGTATGAGCATTGTTTTGGAGTGCCGGCATCACAGGCCTCTATTTTAAGAACGAAAGTAGGATAAGCTGGAACTTCCGGGGAATCATCTTTGACTCCTTCAGCACTATCTATGGCTGACTTTTTCAATAAACTAGAAGAAATTGATGCTGAATTCGATGCAGCGGTTTCAGATGCGTATATGGCCTTTTCAATCGTTCTCCGTGGAATTAACCCATTCAAATAGAGCAGACCTTCAACTGGTGCGAGAAAGAAGTTACTTCCAGCATTTCCATCATCAATTTTATAGGTCACCCTGGCATTTTCTCCCTCATCTGCATCCGTGGCAATTATCTAGAAAGTAAAACGAAATTGTTACCTAAGTCCCACAGATAAGATGAACCCTATTCCTTTCCTCAAATCCGCAAACTTTATAACAAATTTTCGCACGGTTTAAAAATATCACAGATGGCCGCTAACCTAGAAGACTACGAGATATTGGTCAAAACGCCAAAGAAATTATTGATTTGACAACAGTGTCACTTCTGTCTCTAATAGGGTAGTAAATTAGAGACACAACTGAATTTTACAGAAGACGATGAAGTGTCAACTAAGTATGTCAATGTATACAATAACCGAGCCCTATCAAAATCATATTGTTCCCCAATCAATGCGTAAATAAATGGCAAAACATGAAAATTCAGTTTCTGGTTCTTTTGTCTTAAGACAAGAATAGTTGAGATTCCATAGTATCAGTGTTTGCATTATCAATAGTTATGTAAATAGCGCCTGAGTTAAACACGAACTTCACATAACAAACAATTAGCCTCTTACTTCAGTTTCAAAAGAAAATGCGTTATTGAAAAATATCTTTAAATGCTTATTATAAAAAGGCTTTAAAGACAATTATAAGACATTTAAGAGAACTGTTATTGCAGTTTTGACCTACGGCGAACCATTTAATATTGCATAAGCTATGTCCACTAGGTAAGTGTTGTTTACGATAAGTGCTCTGCAACAGAAGAAAAGACGACTGTTGCTTTTGTATTCTAAGTTGGCCCGATTCTAGAAACTCTCTGTAGTTCCATTCTTCCTCCCATTTATTCGTCCGTCCTAAATCATGCACTCGTTATTGAAACGGGGTATTGTTTGTACGTTTGCATGCCAGTCTTCTTTGTCCTTTGATATCGAATCGCAATTGTTTCTGCTAATTGGCAATAGCGCCAATAGTTCGATGAATAAATTCCAGGAAGGCAGAAGGAAAAATGGTTGAAATTTTATCTTTTGAAGTAGATTTTAAATGGATGGAATTAGAAGAAAAACACGTTTTCCAAGAATACCCTAAGGCTGTGAAAAAAACACGCAAAATGGAAAAGAAAGTTCTTAATGAGGCAACCCACTAGCTAAGCTTAAAATTTGCGTGTCCTTTTTTCTGAGACACTAAGCAGGAAGTGCTTGCTAGAACTCCTTTCTTTTATTTCAAAATTGTGTTTCTATTCTATAGACCATTTTCTCAATGAACTTCCTGTGTCTCATATGGGAAATAATTAATTTAGCTGTCTTTTGTATTGTATTAACAAGTTGAGAACAATAGGCAACACATAAAACATCCAATTATTCCGGAAATCTCCTCTGATGACTGTGTCTATTCAACTGCTCTGTGGAATCAACCAATCAAGACACAACATTAGTCAATTAATTAAAATGATGGATAGAAACAAGGGCAAACATGAGGGAATCAAACAGAAACATTTTCACTCCTATTGTGCTTATTAAAACTCTTTTCTAACGGATAGAAGATATTCCCAAGGCCACAGTACAAATCTCAGTTAACTCAACTTTAAGTGTACAGATTTCAAATGGTTACATAGAGCTCATTAGGAACTGTTTAACAGAAATCTTCATTATTTCGATTCATTCCAAAGTAAAATGTTTGCATAGTAGTGAGAAATAACGATTCCTTTATTGCAGCCGATTAATTAATATGGTATAAGATTTCTAAGATGGTTGAGTTTTGGGATCAAAAGGATAAACTACAGAAGATCATTTTGAAAAGGGAAAAGATGAGAGATAATATTAAGTATGTCAACCTTCAATTTGTAGATGATTTTATGAAATCTTATAAAATTGAGTTTGGATTTATTTGAATGTTGAATATAAATCAGTACTGAGTTCAAAAACTTTTACCTGCATTATTGATTTTCCAGGCGTGGTGGTAGGATCAAGCAGGATAAGATGGTTAGTGGCATTTGGTTGAATGAAAGTTGGCCGATTATCGTTCTGATCTAACACATTAACCACCACAGAAGTCACCATTGTATGAATTCGACTTTTAGAGGACTTTTTCCACGGTTGGTTCACGGACGCCTCCACTGACGAATCCGGCAAAAAGCCATCACTGACAAATACTTGGAACGAATAGGTGCTTTGCTTTTCTCGGTCTAGGCGTTCTCTAAAGCAGAATTGAAAGATTTAATAAAAAGTAATGCACCAACCTTTTGAATCTAGCAAGGCAATACTCAAAAGTAGCGGTGTAACATCCAAAACGCCATCAGTATTTAATTACAAAGAAAAAGACTAATAATTTTAGACGTTGAGAATAGCTTTCTAACCGTTGGAAAAGAATTTAGTATGTTAAGGGATATTAGTGGGCCACCATAGTAAAATGGTTTGTTCCAAAGCCAAAAAGACACACAGAAGTGTATGAGCACAGTGAGTAAGTTGCATGTCTGTGAAGTCGATGTCGATCGAGGTGGGCAACAGTAACGATTTAGCCCTGGTAATAAACAAGATGACCGAATTTGAGTGCAATAATGTGAGACTCCATGACGCTTGCCCTCTTCCAAAGATGAGTGCTTGGAAACGCTATTGGAAGACCCGAAATGACAAAAGCCGCGCAGTAAGATTTTGACCACAAGTGGGGCGCGTTTAGCACCATACCAAACATCTTGTTCATTTTTTGCCAACCCCACCCCATCCACCAACGAACTAAAAAGGAATGCAACATTTGCTCCGGCTTGTCCATAGGAATCGTGCTGCAGTAGACAGGCTCTGCCTAAAACCGCCTGGGGAATGTACCAATTAACCTTGCTTCACTCTCTCCATCCTCCTTTTTACTTATTCTGGAAGGTAAACTGTGTAAGTACCCCTTCTCCACTTCATGAAACCGAATCACCCTCGTCGACATTTTACGCGTGGTTAACAGCTGGTGATTGAAATTGAAACCCACCTCGATAACCAAACACCGCTGTTAGCTGTGATTCAAGCGCCTCTCAAAGCGTGCATTTTATTTTGAAATTCTCAATCCCCAATGAAATTTGTTCCAAATACTTTTGCAAGTAGAAGGAAATCGTTCTTGAAAGTCCTTTCTACCAATTCAAAGAACCACTTGGTTAAGTTGGCCAAGAACTCACATGTAAACAAACGTTGCCTTCGCTTCACAAATTAGTAAACATTCCTGTATCGTTTATTCTCGCGAATTTTTAGCAATGTGTTTACACAAAGAACCTAACGCGGGCTCAACAAATTAGAATTAATTACAGGAAGGGGTGAAATGGAGAGAAGGTGAATCAAGCGAAACGCATGATGAATGGTAGTTGAGTGGATAAATGGACAGGTTTTGGAGGGAAGAGGGGGCAATGAGCTGTCCGTCAAGGAAACTTGAGGGGAAAAGAAGAATATCTATCGCAATCTTACTTCCCCTTTCCTTTTACACACCCAGCAATTAACACAGCGACAATTACTCCCTTCTACGTGAGTTTAATGTCACTTCCATTAAAAGTCTGCAGAAATAGGAGGTTTTTTTGTGTCGGAGAGAATTTAAGTGAACGCATAATGCACTTATTTTCGTGAGGAGCAAAAGAGGGGATGGAGCGAGTTTGACGTGTAGTTGGAGGTTGTCTACCCCCCTCCTGACCCCCCCCCCCTATAATTAAAGTACCGCTCTCAATTTAATCACTCCCACCCCCAATTCCCGTCCTCTTTCCCACAGTCACTTTGACTGCTCCTTGACGTAAGTAGATATAGGTACGGCACGGCAACGCCTTTGAGATGGGCAAATTTTGGGTTTAACTGAAACTCTGGTGAATGGACTTCGGCATCCAAGTGACAAATTACCACTTTTGCATTTCGTTACATTAAGTGACAAAAATGGAGAAAACCTGAAACAAGAGAAATGTTCTCTGTTCAAGTATATGATAAGTAAAATAACAAACCATTATTGCATCGTTTTTATTCCCATTTTATACTAGTAAATTCGCAAGTTGTAAGGGAAATTGAGAACAAATAATAGTGATTTTGGAGTCGATATACAAACTTGTCCATTAGGAGGTTAAAAGATGGAACGTGGTTTTCTTTTATGAGTAGTTCCGTGTTCCTTCTTCCAACTTAATTCAGGTTCAATTTGCCTTATGATTTTCAAAGTTGGAAAAAAATTGTTAGTGAAAGACCTCTAACTTTGTACAATACGCGTTAGAAAATAGGGCTAAATAGACTAAATATGGCAGTTATTCTAATTCGATACTGGGGAGTGTGCGATAGACTTATCTCCACGTAGGACAACCTGGGCAACGTGTACTCATACGTCAAAAAAGTCAATTAACCGGCAGTTGACTTCTGACTTCAAACTACCCCCACTGTATGCTATATTCAACTCATTTCACAGTACTCATCTTACCTTTTCTCTCCTCTTTTGCCTGTCTATGTCACATCTGTGAATCACTCTTCCATCCTCCCTCTCGACTTTATGTGACCTTGCTGTTCCTCCTCCTCTCTGTGAAGCCTGAAGTCAGCTAAATGGCTAATGATAACTATCAAAACGCCTGCCATTTTAAATAAATGAATAAAAATAAATTAATTCGATACTAAAATTAAATAAAGAAAAAGTCTATATTTTAACTTTGACCGCACTGACAATTTGGTTAGTTTATTAACGCGATTCCGAAAATATGACACCAATCCCATTCAGTGATTTTATGAACTAAATTCAAAAAATAGGTGAAAACGATAAGCAGATACTTACGGTTAATCTACAATCTAAACTGGGCAATTCTCACATAAAAGTCACCAATTCCCATTAATTTTATTTCATTATAAATAACATCCGGATGTACTTCCTTGAGTGGAAAGAAATAATTTAAAACGAACCTTGTGGTTATATTTCCGGAGTACTTGTCGATTCGAAATAGAGCCGCGTCAGGTTCACTTCCAAGAGTATAAATTAGACGATTGATTGACAAGGGTTGATTGGTTCGACTTCCTGAAACCCTATAGTTACCAGAATGCGTCCATGCCAACCCCTCATAGCCATCCTTAAGTTCACCGTCATCAGCATCCACTGCAGTGATTTGCCCAACGAAGCGTCCAGATGGTTCATTTTCATCGACTGAGAAAGAGTAACCAGCTTCAGGAGCCAATTGATTGATAAATTGGGGCACGTTGTCATTCAGATTCTCAACATGGACTAAAACTCCTACACTGGCTGATAATGGCGGTTCTCCATGGTCAGTGGCTACCACCATGAATTTATGCCAACCTTTAGCCTCTCTATCTAATGGCACAACAGCAAATAGAGCACCTGTATTCTGATCAATAGAGAAGTAAGATACTGAAGACTGATCCCGCGGGTCTGGTTCAAGATGGTAGGAAATTCTGGAATTCTCACCAGCATCCGCATCCCTTGCATGGACTCCGTTTTCTCCATCTTGTCCACGAACGGGACGTTTGTCATTCAGTGGGGAAGGACCTTCATCCACTTCCGCTTCGCCATCATTTTCTTCAATGTAAAACTCATAGAAAGGTTTATCAAAAGTCGGGGCATTGTCATTGACGTCCAGAAGGTTTACCCCTACATCATGTCTGCTTGCATGACCCGCTGAGTCGCGACATACAATGGAGACTTCCAACCTTGGAGTGGTTTCACGATCAAGGCGCGCATTCGTCATTAAGGAATATTCACCTTTTCCTGAACTGGATGGTGTGGATGTTAGCTGAAAATACTCAGCAGCACTTCCTTTCAAATGACACTCCACTGTGTCTAGTCCATCCATATCTGGATCAATAACCTCAACCAGTGCTAGAAGTTGTTCAGTGTTGCCGTATTCTTGAGCTGTTGTTTCTACGACAGCTCCACTTCCGGTGGGTTGATCTTTAGGCGGTCGTACTGGATAAACCTGGATTCTTGGAGCCTCATCATTAGTGTCACTAACTTGGATTTGAACAGTTGTTCTGCCAGTTAGAGCATATGCAGGACTGGCTCCATCAGTAGCTTCAACACCGAAGGTTATGGGAGAAGACGAAGGTAGATTCATTTCTCCATCTATTTTGTCCACATTCAATTTTCGCAGGATCTTAAGCTGTCCACGAGGTGTGATTTCAAAGAAATGCTTAATTACATCGAGCATAGACTGGCCGTTATCCTCAAATCTATAGGTTAATTCTGCGTTAGGACCGCTATCCATATCTTTTGCATCAAGTTGGAGCAGTGTTTTCCCGACTGGAGTGTCTTCAGAAAGAATATCCACCTTGTAAATGGACTTTTCGAACATTGGTGCATTATCATTCACATCCGTGACATTGATGATTAATTTTAGAGAACTTTGTTGTGGATTCGGACTGCCGGAATCTCTCGCCACGAGCAGCAGACGAATGGTTTCGGGCAACTGTTCTCTATCAATTGATGTCTTTGTTCTCAGTGCAAGTTTTGGTTCTGGAGTCTTTTGAGATAGAATCCTCTGGGAAAATGGGGGATCCGAATGCTTAATTAACTCAAATAAGCCCAGTTGTGATGCAGATTGTCGCCGATCATTGTTATAAGTACTCACAATTTCATCGTCAAGTGCTTGCAGACTGTAGGTAATCTCTCCATTTAAGCCGATATCCTCATCCTCAGCCAGTGGTAGGTAGATTACAGTACCTGCAGGATCTCCGTCTCTCAGCGAAAGCTGAACACTTGACGTATTCCAAGTGGGAGCATTATCATTTATATCCAAAATTTCAATTTTGATATTAAAAATCTTATCACTACTTGCTACACGGAGGGAAACAATGCAGTCAGAAGTTGTGGGATTGGAGGAAATTCCCCCATAGTCATGGAATGATGAACGGAAAGGAAGCATACGACTTGAGTCCTCTATATGGAAAGTGGAACGTGGAGAGGGGTCGATTTGAAGACCACCTGAAGCTGCACTTCTAGATGGGCAAATAACTTCTCTGTCCACGCGGTCAGAGACAATTAATTCAAGTCCTGATTGGGGCCGTTTTACAAAAGTGAAACTAGAAGCTCCGGGTGATTTTCGATTGATGATTAGTGGAACGGAATTGGGGTTGACTAGGAGCGGAGTCAACTCTGAGTTAGTTGCAACAACTTTCCCGCTGGAAACCTCCTCCTCCAAATGGAAAGTTAGTTCATTTGCATTAGTTAAAAATTGCAGTAGAGAGAGTATTAAGTAGAGTTTTTGATAATCCATTGTTATGTTTTGCAAAAACAATTTACTCCTTATTCATTCTAAAAAATAAAGAAGGGAACTAGTTTTCGTATTTCAGCACTGGAAGCAGAAAAGTCAATTAGTTAAAACCGGAAGTGAAAATAACAGAAAAATAATTATGCTCATTATATTAAGCATAATGACAAGTATTTGTCCACTGGTTGTGACATGGAGAGCGAATGAAATGAACCATTACCGTTATATTAGTCTCCGCACTGCATTAATTAAATTAGAATCTGAAGAGATTCTCTTCAGTAATATTAAGTACAACATTTCAATTTCACCAAAAACTGGCAGATAATTTCTAAAATCTCACTAATTAGTGTTCTTCCGTTACCTTGATCATTAGAAGCAAAATTAATTGAATTACAAAAAGTAAACTTCATGAATTGAACTATTCAATTTGCTCATTAATCAAGTATTACATCAGTAATTCAGGGGATACCTAGAGATTTCGAATGTAAGGCTACTTTACAAACCGATTGAATGAAAACATTACAACCTAAATGGAAGGCGTAGATGAGTTGAAGCATCTGATAGCTAACTTCGCATTCAATGGAAGCTCGATTGCTTCCCATCTAAGCATTATTGGACTATTCAACCGCTCACCATGTTCCTGATTTCTGCTGATGAAATAACCCTAGAAATGCAAGTAAATCTTGCAACAAGGTTAACGAATAAATGAATTAAAAATAACAAATAATGTAAACAAAAAGATACAGAAGAATGTTAGTGCCTGTTTAGTATTCATTTTGATTACGCGCTAACGGGGTGGATAGTTTCTGTTGGAAAATTCCTAATTCTCTATGAATAACCATAGTTCTGTCATGGTATGACTTGAAGCTATCGATTTTCTAGTGAGATCACTTCGCTTTCCCAGCCGTCGAAAGAAACATGAAGTGAAGTGACAAAATCGATCATCTGGACTGAAAAGAACATCGGAGATGGTTGACAAGTCTTCGCAACAATTCAGGTGACGATAGTAAAACTTGAATTTCGGAATATGAACTTCACAGTAAGTAGTTCTTACGCAACCCGAATACCATCTGAAACTCTGACGTTACTCTCAATAACCTTTTGTCGCTTGTTGGACTTTCTGCCAATCAGTATCGGTTGCTTCTCGTAATTAAAGATTGAGGTTGTTTTGAAATACTGTGGTACTAATAATTTTAAAATAAAACGACAGCCACAACTTCATAAAATTGAATAAACCTGTGATGCTATTATCACCCCCTCTTCCCCTAGATACGGTATTTGAGACTGTTCCACTATTCAGTTATCAAAATATTTCATGAATGGCCCCACTCTATCTTGGTCACGCTTAATTCTTCCTGTGACAACAGTGCGCACATCCAAATTTACTCAACGCATTTAACAATTTAGCACTTAAATCAGGCATTCTTTTTCTTTAATTGGACCCCGGAATGTATTACCGAACCCCACATTGGAAGAAACTGATTTAGAACACAAATTCCATGGTGAGCGAGAGTATGTTTTGTGTTAAACCATTGTCCTAATAGAATGAGACGCTGAAGACCACACTGCCTGCCCACACCTGCCCTGTCTCATCAAACTCGATGCAAATTCCACCTTTGAGGGAGGNCCCCCACCCTCCTCGACATTTTGTGACTTTGATATTCTTCCCTTCTGTGAAGTCCGAGGTCAACTAAAGGGCTAATGATTATTACCATGAAGTCCGCCATTTGATATAAATAAATAAATTTGAGACATACCCTTCGGTGCTCCGACACCTACAAAAATCAATTCGGTTTACTCTACTACAGAACAAAGAGTAGATCAACAGTGCTTTTCATCAAAGTGTTAAAATTAATCACGTATTTGTTGAGAATATTTCTAACTTAAGAATTCATAGTTAAAACTAGACGTGAAGGTCTTGATTTCTAAACGTACTAATAAGATCTCCAAACCGCTTTAGTCTATAATTAAGTATATGTACTTTTTAAGCGTAGTTGGAAAGGTCAAATACTATTTAGGTTGGACTTAATAAGAAACTAAATTTGTATCTATCACAAATTAGACATAGTAGCTTTATTGTTTATTGAACAAGAAATCATTAGAGAAAGTAACACCAAATATATTTAAAATTGGGTGTTTACCTTCAGATAATCTGACTTTATTTTTTAACCGAGCTTTCTATATTCCTGCTTAATTCATTTGAGATTAGCGTTTGCACTAATATTTTCAAACGTATCCCGACTTTATTTAAATTTCTGAAGTAAATCAAGTAATATACGCCAATTAACTTTTTCACAGTTCCTCCAACCACCTATTCCCAAATTTAATGGAGTCTAGAAGTCCTGTTTTAAATATGGGCCAATTTCCGATAGATACCTTTAAAAAATTCAATTAAGATATGTCGAATTGAAGCATTCAGATTGGAAAAGTTATTTTTTTGTTTCAATAGCACCTTTACTAACATTTTTAACGCCCAATATGTCAATCGATTTTTATGACCCCTCAGTTACTTTATGTGAAAGACGCATCTACTCAGACTCAAAGAAGAGGAAAAGAGAACACTTATGTCTCAAACAACCGTCTTATTTTGACAAAATTGAATCACTTACATGACCTTGAAATAGATGACAACTTGTGACTGCCCTCTTAGCCAATAAGTTCAGCGACAGCTTCTCTACAGGTGATTTTATAAACCGAAGTGTGAACATGTAATCCAATAATCGATAAACCAGTGCATGTGAAATGAGAACTTTTACAACGCTAGGGTGAGGCGAAAATGTTCGAATAGGATTATACTGGATAAAATGAAACAGCAGATGATGAACTGTAATTATCAAAGTCTCAAATATTTTCTTTAATACCTAAACAACAATTTTCCCAAAGTCTTTGAATAATTGATAGATTTTTTTCGTTATTTATTTAGTCACCTAACAGTCCACCTGCAGAAATAAAGGCTCTTTCGAATTCTGCAACATCTATGTCCTCGGACCCTTTATCTTTTATTCTATTCAACCTCTTCATCTGTTGAAATTGTCCATCCTGCTGAAGATATCACCATAAATCTTGCCGCGTACATTAATGAAGCATAAACAGTTAATACTTTGAATTGTAGTTAAAAAAACACAAGTTTATAATTTTTTCTTGATAAATTGGATGAGGAAGCAAGAGTTCGTTGCTTCCGTAACTCAAAATTCGTCCTGTCCTAAGATAGTCGATGAACTCAGTTACTGTAAACCTATGCAGGTCATCAAAAAAGCTTTTTGGCCAGGATTTCTTTCTTTGTAACCCCTTCTTTAATTGTCCCAAATTTGCTATCAAACATTGCGTTAAATTACTTTTTGAACCCTTTACAGATGAGCAGTTCAGATGGCATATTTCTATATCTGAACTTCAAGCGAAGTCTTAGTTTACAGCTAAGAACCTTCTGTTATGATTTTTGGAGGTAACCCCCAATTTGAAGCTGCAAAAATTATTAGAGGATTGAAAATGACGAAGCTCATGCTTTCTTCTGCTCTCATTGATTCTGATGCTTGATGAACCCTTCTGTCGAAAAGAATCCTATTCCACCTTGTCAGCTTAACCGAAACAATCATTTACGTCCATCAGCAATCGTCATCAGTGTAAAGAGTGTCGAAAGTTTGGACAGAAAGAAAGCCTCCCTCTCCCCCCTCCCTTACTCCCAAATTATCCACCTACAAAATTACCAAGGCTAGCCATAGGACAGTCTCTTGATTTCCCTTCGTATTGATATCTATCAAAGCAGGAAATATGTGAATCTTCGGATCAACAGGGTGAAAATCAATGAATAGTCCAAAAATTGAACACGTCCCCCACCTGAAATCAATGCCATCCGTGGGTCTACCAAGCCGATAGGGTAGATAAGCCGTAATGTGGTCTACCGGAACATTAGTATTTCAACAACAGCTTATATTGCAGACTTTCAACTTCATCTGTTTGGTCTATAAATAAATAAATAGTATACATTCTACTACTTTTCGCATCCTAATTCAAAGCATATGTAATGTTCCATCGTTTTACTGATGCCGAATGCTCAGCCACTTGTTCTATTCAAAGTGGCAGGTTCCACTAGCTTGTGATAGACGAAAACGTAAACGGCTGGTGTGATGCAACCTATTTGTTATTCAAAATGGGCTGCACATATTGTTGTCGTTGGAACTAACCGGCTGTATGGTAGCTATTCAGCCGGTTCAATTGTCACATTGGAGCCAGAATGGTTCTCACCACCACCAGTTGCTGATGGCATCTTTGCGATAGTGAATGGTGGAAAATGCATTGTAAGCTTTGACTTAGCAGGAGGCTAGTTAAACGTCGAAGCTGCTCACTTTTAATGCACATCACATTTTATAGCCAAATACCTGACTATCGTTCGATGTACCTGATACATTTCAACTAATACTGGCAACTCCCAGCGTGTGTCATGGCGCATTTTTTGGTGAAGTTGAGACTGTGGCATCTGCAAACATGTACATTTTCCGTGTTCTTTTTAAAGCACTTTAGGTACGTCTTCGATTAAAAATGAAACCGAAAAAGCTTCAGGCAACTACAAAATTATCACGACCTAGCTACGTTAGCAAATTACATTGATTCCAGTATAATATCATCTACTACAATCCCTCTTTGGGAAAAATATATAATATTTGGCCTTCACTGCATGAGTCGCTAAGAAAAAGTTACGAAATGGAACTGGACTTCCGAATGTGGGAAAGCTTCTGCAAAGCCAAAGAACTTTCTAATTTCTAATTACACTCCTTTAATTTATCACCGCTCTTGGCGACGATTTAGGTTTAGATTCTCGGAAACAACTGAATTCGGACAAGTTAATTGTCTTTCTCGTCTCATTTGCAGTCAGAAATGTCCCTACAAGGAAACTACCATAAAGGTCTGAATGTGGAAGACGACATGCAATACCTACTCCTTGATGCAGTACACAAATTTCCCACGATTGCTTATGACATATAAGGTCCTCCAGTCAAAGATTTAGTGCTGGAGACGGTCATGAAATATTTTTTATGCAGGAGGGGTGTGCGATAGACTTACCTCCACGTGGTGCACACTGGGCAACGTATATTCATACAGCAAAAAAGTCTATTAACTGGCAGTTGACTTCTCACTTCAAACTACCATCACCCCTCTGTACGTCATATTCGACTACTTCCACAGTACTCACCTCACCTTTTTCTATCTTGGTGTTTGTCTCTTACATCTTTGAAACNGGGGGGGATTTGGTCCCAGAGGGGGCGAGAAGGGGAGGTGTGAACGTGGACTTCGAATAGGCACCAGGTGCAAATTCAGTTTTAGTCACACTGACAATGTGAACACTTGATGCGTAATGCCATTATCTGATGTAGCATTCACGAGGACTTTCTTTGTGATGTCTATTCAATCATGAAGAGGTTTTAGATAGATCTAGCACAGGATCGCGTCACAGATATCCGTGTAAAATTATAAATCTCAAGCAATAATTCGGATCTGACGATCCATATTAAGAGGTTTTGTAACAATGAAAATATCGTGGTTGATTAGAAATGGGAATAATTATACTAATTAAAAGCAGTATAAAGCATCTTACCTGGTATGAGCAGCAAGGGAGAAAGAAGTAGATAAAGAGAAGATGAGAGTGAAACGTCGACTAATGAGGGGAAGGTGGTGTAAACTATTAACCTTCAAAACTATCTCGGTCATGTCCAATACATGCACATTAGTCGCAGCGTGGTGCGTAGGTGTTACCCGGCCGAGAACGCCCGAATCAAATCACACAGGAACTTTAGCCAATCACACTTCGGCTCTCAGTAAACTTTACAGACCAATTGTACAAGCCGAAGCCTAGCTCATCGTTCATTAATCATCCTCATTGAATAGGTGCAAATAGGGTACCTTATCCCCCAAAACTCGAAAATATACCTAGGGAAGAAAATTATTCCAGTTCTTGAATTAATAGGGAATGAATAAAAGAAATGTTCCAGCACATAGCCTCGCTTGACAGCTTGGTATCACCAACAAAATAACTAGATTCCTTCAAAGATGGAAATAGCGCCGGCATTCCGGCCTTTTTATTGAGCTTTTAGAATGCAATCTTTCTCATGCTATCCTTAGAAACTACAGTGTTTGTTCCAATGTGAAGTTAAGTCTTTATAATTGAGTACTTTTAAGCTGAGAGGGTAATTTTTGGCCTACTAAGGACTCAAAACAGGCAACTCAATTCACTATTCGGTATGGCATCAAGTATGAACGCTTGAAACCTGCTATTTCTAACTTCATTGTAACTTTTGCTGTTAGACAATTTAGAAATTACGAACTTCTGGTTGGAGAATAGTATTAGTCGTCTAGAACCATTGACAAAGATTTAAGGGAACTTAAAGGGTTTGTCAAAGGCTAACCGAGTCATATCCCATTCTTGCCATTGTTGTTGGCAAGTGAACATGGATGTTTATTTAATAACAATTTGAGGAACGTCAAAAATGACCTCCACTGCATCTTTCTAACAAAATAACCGCTTGGGATTTTCCGACTAAGAATAGAATGACGTGATGCACAGTTTTCCTAATTTTTCCTTGTTCGAACAGTTGTTTGATGACTGCTTTTATAACTGATTAATGAGCAATAAGTTAAGGAATGCCAGCTCAACTGACTGTCATCCATATTTTGACAACTTCCTCGTTGCGTCTTTTCATTGCCATAGTAGAGCTAGAGGAGCAGGGTATGTAGGTATGGTGTATTCGCCCACTTGATATTGCTAGACTTCAGCCCACGCAGACTCCAAGGAAGGTGGCAACCTGGATATGCCACCACGACAATGTCGCTTTGTCAATTTCCAACAAGACTGACCACAGGGGAGAGTTTTTTAGGCCTATTACTGTTAACCTCTTAGCACAATGTCCGTCCTTAATATGGTGAATTCACAACCATATTCTCGAAATATGACGCTGCAGTAATAATTTATTTCGTGATCAAATTTGCATAAAATTTGAATATCAGAAGTCTCTATGGGCCTCGCTTTAGTTAATATTTATTCGTAGGGGTGTGTGATAGACTTACCTCCACGTGGTGCACCCTAGGCAATGTATACTCATACGGCAAAAAGTCTATTAGCCGGCAGTTGACTTCTGACTCCAAACTACCATGACCCCACTGTATGTCATATTCGACTACTTCCACAGTACTCACCTCACCTTTTTCTATCTTGGTGTTTGTCTCTTACATCTTTGAAACACTCCTCTGTTCACCCCCCCCCCTCTCGACTTTTTTTCAATTTGATGTACCACCCCCTCTGTGAAGCCTGACGTCAACTAAAGGGCTAATGATAACCATCAAGACGCCCGACATTTGATATAAATAAATAAATTTTTATGCAGGATGGCCATTTTGGCGATTTGCTACAACTTTGTAAACCTCATATTAATCTGTCTGTGGTCATTTATGTTTGTTTGCTGATAGTATGTTAACTCCTTTAGCGTTCAAACGAACTGTGTTATAACAGTTTCATAGTATATGGAAAATCTGATATCTTGACTTAAATTGTATCTTTCTGGACTTTCACAAACTTGGACTTTGACTGACTTGATAACTGTCCCTCATAGTTTTGTCATGGTAAATTCGTACTCAAAGTAGCCTGGAGCCATTGAATTAAAGTCTACCACAGCCACCATGTTACGTTAACCTTTGCTCTTAACTTTTCAAGAACTCTCATGAAAATTGCAGGGGGATCCGACATTCACAAAATTTTGAGGAACTCCAAAGAAAGATCTCGAGTATTCCAAAGAAAGAATCCAAACCGGTTGGGTATTTTTCCTTCACAGAATTATCCGTTGTCTTTTGACTGGTGGCAGTAGTGATGAGTTCAAAGAGTGAATGGGATAGTAACATAATTAAAGTTAATTTCTTACAGGGATTGGGATTTACCAAGTTCATTAGCGTAGTCCCCTTAGAAATGTCTTAATACTTCAATCATATATTTCTAGGAAATTTTTGGTTCTTTTCTCTATGAAGGAAAGGAGATAATTTCATTTTAAAGGAAATGGACATGTATAAATACTACATCCCTAATTTGGGTTTGAATTATTAGGAAAAGATTGTTAGAGATGGCTCAAAAACAGTTAAGATTTTTATTTTATCTAAATGAATACAAATTTTAACCATAATTAAACTTGTCGTGCTAATATATCAAACTGGTTGGCCAGGAAAATCCGAAAATACAAACGTACGAAATGGATAATGTTGTTCACATTGTAATAATATTATTTTACCTGAAATTTCTCTGTGAGATAACATAACTATTTAAGCAATAGATAAATTCCAATATGATGTACCTAAAGCAGATTATAAAAGATTCCGATCTTCATAGATTTTACATGTGTGAAATGTTTGTTTATAATAAATAACTTCTAGAGTTGACACTTATTACCATCATTTCTTGTCTTATGTGAAGAGAAGATCATTATTTCTTTGGCCAATTAATAAATTCATTAGTTTTTTATTGAATAGCAAGATATTCAAAGTAAATTTTACATACATTTTATGGAAGGGTCAATGAAAGCGGTGCCGAATCTGACTATTGTTATGGTATAGTTCAAGATATTTTAAAATTAATAATACCGTTAAACAAAGTTATTACCATATTAACGAAAGAATTTACAACTTGATTCTAATTATACATGTTCATGACAAACACATGGCCCAACATCTGTGCCACCAGTGCCCATTTCGCGCGACCCAAGTGATCAAGTCGTAGCGTGTTGATTTCGTAGAATGTTGACTGATTGCGCACCAGGATTTGACTCTTACTTTGACTGTATCCTTGAAATTTTATATGGCTCATCGACAATAGGGCTTGATCCTGTTATACGTCATTTTACAAGTGTTAGTGCTATTCAAATTATTACTTTTAGGTTGCTAAATATAATGTTCCAAATGGCAAACAAATGCGGGGTCGATTATGTGTTGCATCAGCTAAATATTTTTTGAATAGGGAGATCTCGGAGGATGTTCTTAAGTCAATTAATCTTGTTGGATGGGCTATTGAATTTGTAAGGTTCCAATATCAATTATTCCCAAGTTGCAAGCAGGTTTTCTTGTCCACGATGATATAATTGACGAGTCACCTATGCGAAGAGGAAAGCCGTCGTGGGGTCTTTCACAGCAAAAGGAGGGTCTTGGGTTGATCGGCATCAACGATGGACTTCACTTGTTTATGTCTGTTCAGCAAATTTTGATGTCTGCTCTCACTAACCCTCAGCATTCTCGGTGTATTGATATCATTAAACTCTTCGGTGATTGTGCCAATGCGACTTGTTTTGGGCAGGCTTTGGATATTCTCGGAGATATTGGCTTTCATCCATCCATTTCGAAAGGTCTTTCAGGAGCCAAATTATCTGAAACTCATCAAAATCGACTCAGAGATATCACCTTGGACCGATATGCTCTAATCTCGAAATGGAAAACTTCCCATTACAGTTTTGTTCTTCCGGTACTTGCTGGGATGCTTTTGGTGGGTTGAGTTCTTGAAAATTTGTCATCTGTTCTTTTTGGCCAATTATTTCATTTTTTCTTCACATTAAGGCTGATGTTAAGAGTGAAACCCTTTTCTCCAATGCAAAGTCAATTCTTTTCGAAATTGGCGAATATTTTCAAGCTCAAGTAAGTTGTTCTTTCAACCTATTTGTGTGATTCGGTAAGTTAAGGATTTTCGTTCAGGAATCCTTTTATCTAGTGAGATTGAATAATCCTATTGTGTGTGCTATGTGATTCTTCCTCCTACAACCTAACTGTTTTAATTTGCAAAATGAGATAAGCATCATTATGATTTGATCTACTTTTAAGTATATGGTAAATACCGTAATTAAAATCTGTGCAACCAATGTAGAAATCACAAATAGTTTAGGAGAAAAATGTAGCTCCAAATGGTAGCCTCAATCAGTCTGGTCTGTTCACGCCCCCGGATTAAGTTCGAACTGAAGTAAGCTTTTTAAACTGCCTTCAACTCTATACTGAATGGTTCCGCATTTCCTATTAAAGGTTATGCTTCATTTTGAATGAATTATAGTGAGTTATACGTTATCGTTCATCATCAGGCTAGTACTTCAGCTATTATGGAAGTGTAATCTAATCAATTTAATTAGCTGGATGCCGTTAACTCACACAGGAAACTGGAAACAAGTGGGGGAATTCGACTTGAAAACATGAACCAAATTTTGCAAGTTTCTTTCGATGTTCCGACCGTATTCCATTGCCTTGTCCCTCCCCTTAACCCATATTTGACTGTCTTGCATGTTCACGATCTCTGTTTCTTTTTCTTAATGAAAACGTGTTTTTATTTGCAATGAATAACGAATAGTGGACGCACTTCAAAATTTGGAACAGAGATGAATCCAACTTCCAAATTGCTCAAAATTTAACCCACATTTTCCCTTGAGACTCTAGATTTCGTCCAATCAGTTTAGAGTACAATGAAATAGACAGAATGACTTACATCGGGCCATTTATTCCTTTTAGGATGACTATTTGGATGTTTACGGTGATGCGAGTGTGACAGGCAAAGTCGGCGTGGACATAGCTGATGGAAAGTGTAGTTGGATTATTGCTATGGCTTTAGAAATAGCATCCGCTGACCAGAGGAATATTCTTAATGTGAGCAACATTTCGTTTCCTTTGCTTTAAATTTCGCTTAATGGTTATTTTTCATTCATAAATATGTTTATTTCCCTTGATGCGTCATGTATATTTATATCGTTGATGTAGTAGAAACTTAAAATCGTCATAATTTGTTGGAATTAGTAATCGCATATACTCAAGTAAAATGAGAGATTGTTAGCAGTTAAAATAGATATTTTAGACCTTAATGCTTTTTAAAGATCTAATATATCTCCTTGTTTCCCTAGTTGTATATGTTAAAATATGTGGTGATTTTTGGATAGCCATCTTACTTATCATGTAAGCATTAAAAACAAATGAATTGTGAAGCTTCCGAAGTTGGTAGATTTTTTAGAAAGTAGTATTTCTTTCGGCAATTTTAGTATTTACCGAAATATTTTTCTCTGATTTTGAATAAGTCAGTACTTTTCTTCACATCACTGTTTTATGGTTAGTTATTCTCTTGGCTACGTAAGAAACGTCTATTTTGAAGGTCATGCTATCTGTTTTTTTAATAGAAAAATTTATGTTAAAGTTACTTGCGCTAATCAAGGCCAGTAGATCTCATAATAATACTTAGAAAGTGTCTCAAATGCACCTAAAAAAGCACCTGTGTTGGGGTTAGCCACGTTAAAGTACATCAATAAATCATTAATTTACCGGTTGTGATGGCGATGGGTTTGCAGTCTATTTGCTACTGAATCGATATTAAGTAGTGGTATTATTATACTTTGTACAAATGACTGCAGCCGAGCAATGCTGCGCTCTGGTCATAACTTCGTGTGCGCATTCTCTCATTCGCATGTGGGTGCGTCATGTAGCAGAAGCAGACGTCTATTAGTCACCTTACTACTTACGGACGTGCTGTGTGATTAATTCATGAGGACATGTATGTGAAAGCGCGTGTTTGCGTGTGCGTTTACTACAGAAGCTGTTTTTATTTCAGAATGGTAATTATTTTTCAATTTCTGCCACTTTTCTTTTAGCATTTTTTGAATTTTTATGTAGGCCTAATATGAAAAGGAATGTGCGTTTTCTCTCAATAACATGACGTATCTAGTGCAATCGATGTAATTTTCCATTCTCTAATATTTTAATGAAGTGTTATTATGGTCTATTTATCTACCAAAGGGCTCTCACCCGTTTGAATCGTTTTTGTGAGATAAACATCTTCAAATTATGCATGGGCACTGGTGTTTTGCAGTCAACGTTGGAACATATTAAAGCAAACCTCACGGTATCGACGCTCACCAGTGCGCATGCAGTGATGTTTATTTATTTATTTCAAATGGTAGGCATTTTGATAGTCATCATTAGCCCTTTAATTGACTTCAGGCGTCACAGAGGGGAAGGAACATCAAAGTGACAAAAGTCGAAGGGGGGAACAGAAAGTGATTCACGGACGTAAAAGAGACAGACAAAAGGTAGAAAAGATGAGGTGAGTACTGTGGAAGTAGTCGAATATGACGTACAGAGGGGTGATGGTAGTTTGAGGTCAGAAGTTTACTGCTGGTTAAGACTTTTTGCCGTATGAGTATACGTTGCCCATGGTGCACCACGTGGAGGTAAGTCTATCGCACATCCCGACATGCAGTGATGTAGATGTAGGCAGGCCACTGGTTATCTATGGTCTAAAATGAGAGATGGTAGAATGCTCTTATGAAATTATCACTACTGAAGTCTCCGATTTTAGATAC